CCGTTTTCAAGGCTATTTTTACGAATTTTTTTTTAATAGGAACGGTAGGGCCAATGGACTTGGACTTTTTACAGTGTATTCATTAATGTTCAAAGTACAAAATAAATTCGTTACTATCTATATGGAAAATACACATGAAACTTTAAACGCGTTTATCTGGAACACCATTTTCTTAAACCGCCGACACACGATCACGCGGAAACTACTGAACCGAATAACTTGAAATTTTTACACAATATATAGCAGACAAGTAGTTATCGCTCCTACCTCGGACACAGTTATATTTGATTTTATTCATTTTTTTAAACATGATTACAAGTTGAAAAAATCTCATTTTCAATATTTTTTTCGTGTAGTCATTATTTTTTCCAAACTTGGCTTCGTTGCCTTCATTTTGGTACGGGCTGTAACGGCAACTGTATATTTTAAAAATCTCTCTCATTTTTTGGTTTCAGAGTAGTAAGAGGTCCGGGATGATGTCGATAGTAAACATAAAGCTCGCAAACGGATGACTACATTTTTATCTATAATTACAAATTGGGCCGGTTCTTCTGTGATTCAATAAAATTTATTTTGTACTTTGAACATTAATGAACACACTGTGTGAAAATTTCAAGTCCATTGACCTTTAACGTTTCTGTTAAAAAAAATTCGTTGAAAAATAAAATAGCCTTGAAAACGGTCTTTCGCATGTAATCCCCCCTTAATCGAGTGACTTTGACCGTCCAAAATGACGACAATTCACATCGAGTGAATCGTGATCACGCACTGGTCATCTCAATCGACTACTCTGACTGATTATGCGCTGATTAATAATTAATGAGATCCACACAATTCCATGTATAACGATTGGCTAATTTTGACTATTGATTTGCCGCTTACTTTATTCCACGAAGATTTGAACCGGCCAATGCCCGACGCTGCCCACGTCGTTCGGCCGTGGAACACGATTTTCAAAACAGAGTCGAAGAGAGCCGAAGAGCTCCGCGATGAAACCTCTCGTAAAATTCTGACAGACCGACCGAGACGACTTCCCGAGTTCTTCCTCTTCCCCTCCTTGCCCCTGTCTCTCTCTCCAGGCCGCTTCATGCAGCGAATCATCTTAATGGATGCTCACGAGAGAATCGCTCGCGATGTTCCGGCGAGATTCCAACGCGCCTCCTTAACGGCGGTATTAAAATTCTACGCGCTGAATATTTCAGGAATACCGCGAGAGCCGACGTGCCTCTAAGAGAGCAACTTTCGGACGTACGCTCGCTCGTCTGCCGGCTCATTCTTAAACAAGTTGCCTCCAACTTTCACGCGTTTACCGATACTTGAAACATCACCGTGATAATACAACATTAGAGAGGGAGAGAGGGAGAGAAATTGGCGAAATATCGTTGAGCCAATCGCTCATTGGCGCTTTCGTTGACGTTACATCGCGGGGACTCTCCTCGCGATTCTATTAGAATATATATACATGATTTAAAAAGCGGCCTCGAGCGGTGAAGAGTCAAGGATAACACGATATATTCTTATCAAATTGCGAGTCGCTCTCTCATCAGCGGGATTCCGATGGCGCGCCTTCGCTCTTAATCGCGGAGGCTGCGGAGGCAGCCGAGAAACGAGAGAACTCGCAATCACCCAAGGAGAATTTAATTGCAACGAGATCCGGCCCGCCGAGCAGGACTACTCGGCTCGGGAGAATGTAACAAAGGAGAGAGAGATGAAATATCACGAGGCTCGATCGACGAGTTTTCATTTCGCCTCTGCGGCGAGAGGAAGGAAGGAAGGAAGGAAGGAAGGAAAGAAGGAAGGAAGGAAGGAAGGAAGGAAGAGAGGAAGGAAAGAAGGAAGGAAGGAAGCGCGGACGCGAGTCTCTGAACTATTCATTTACGCAAGATCGCACCGCCGAGATTGCCCAGCGCGTTCGATGATTTCTGAGACAGATCGGGCTCGTGGCCGATCTGAAGCGAACGTTCGGCCGAGCAAAAAGCCGAAGGAGCGGAGGCACGTCTTTTATCGGCACAGTGCTGTGTCCGCGTGTCTGGTGCACAAAGTCGAGCCTCGGAGAGCCTCGGCCAGCACCTTGGCGCGACGTCTGGTCGCGCTGGATGCGTCCCCGGAGGTTTCGCTCGTCACGAGGACGACGAGGAGGAGGAGGAGGAGGAGGAGGAGGAGGAACAATCCCGGCACTGATCGCGACTCCCCGAGCGAGGCCGCGCGCTGCGCCGTTTGAAGCGGCGCGAGGGCGGAAATTCGCGGCTATCTCTCGTTCTTCCTTCTTTCTCGCGCGCGCGCGCGTGTGGGCAGACACGTGTCGCATCGTGCGACCGCGCAAGCACGTGATTTATGCACGCGAGTGAAATCACGCGTGTGACGGAAAAAGAAGTCGGGGCTGATGCCGTGCGAAAAGGGTACCGAAATAAACGGCCGTGAAGACCGCTAGACCGCCAGCTAGACTCTCTCTCTCTCTCTCTCTCTCTCTGAGAGCCGCTCGCAGGAGAGCAAAGTCCTTGGAGGCGTAATCGGAGTCGGTCCGACGAGTCTGGAAAATTTCGACGTCGCTTTTCTCCGGGGTTTTATCTTCTCTCACGGTTCTCTCACGGTACCAACCTTTCCTGGACCAACGGGCGATACGAGGGAAGGCGCGGAGGAAGAGAAGAGAGGGAGCGATTTGTGGACCGGTTGATTCACCGGGAGGAGCTCGGAAGGTGAAGATCGTGGGTTGCGATGTGACCGGACTGGAAATCGCAGGCGTGATTAGTCGGTGGGATTAGTTCGAAAAATTTCGACGTCGCTTCTCCTCGGGATTCGGACCTTGTTCGGTTTGGTTTGTTTGTTGAGTTAACGGGCGACGAATGGGGCGGGGAACGAAGGAGAACTCCGGGCCTGCCGGAAACCGCGACGTTGCGGCTGCGTTAATTAGCTGGAGCGGGAGGGGGAGATTTAGAGATAAACGTTAGCAAAACCATGAAAATGTTCATCGTTTCCCAGGACTCGAATCTTATCCGAGTTCTCTGTTAAATCCAAACACGATACGAGGTGGAAGGACCAGGGAGCAAAGAGGGCGAGGAGAGAGGGAGATAAAAAGGTCGTGTTTGAGCCCTTTGTAAAGGGCGAGCGACTGCGTTAATTCGCCCGGGGAGGGCATTCAACCGGAAGTGGGCGCATGAATCTGCGCCGGTCTGCCGGCAGGACGGAATTCGATTGAAACGAAGGACAAGCGTGCGCGCGCGATTGCGAGCGCGGCTGTGCCTGATGTCATGGCCGTGCGATTAGATTACCGACGCGCCTCGTGCCCACACCATGCACGCGCCTGTGTGTGTGTGTGTGTGTGTGTGCGCGACAATTAAAACTGCTAATTTATGGGCCACGAGCGTAGCTCGCGACGCACAGGCGACCTCCGACCTCGCGAACACTAGTCGTCTCAAGTCGCGACATCAAGTACGACAGCGGAAACGACCACGACGGAGGAATCGACAGCGGCAATAACAATGACAACAATACAATCGACGGCCGCGATGAATGATCATCGCCGTCAATAACAGCGTCGTCGACGTCGACGACAGCGTCTCGAAAGATTCATACGTCGCGCGATGAACGTCGTGGCGTCGGCAATCTCGGAGAGATAGCCGTCAAAAGCCAAACAAATAGCCGCAAGTTCACGGCCGTAGTTCCAATTTAAATATGGCCCGAAGGATCTGAGACCTGAATTCCCGCGAGCCAAGGCCGGGGAACATTAAACGCTCCACGGCCAGCTGTGTGAGGCCGGCGTGTGCTGAGCGCGACGCGCTCGATCCGACTGTGTGTGATTCGGCGTTTTTTTTCTTCTCCCTTTCTTTTTTTCTTCTTTCGAGATCGTTCGTGAGAAATGACGTCTCATTCGGCCGGCTCGTACCTCCGCTCGCGCGAAGTCTCACGCGCTAGCTTTCGAGACGCGTCATCTCGCGAGTTTCCGCCCGCGGGACGCGCCGGAATCCGCGATCAGTCGCGGTCGCGCGGAAACGCGAGTCCGCGTTTGAAGTGCCCTCACGTGCGTCTTATCGCCATTGTATCGCGTTTACGCAGCGAGCCGCCGCCGGCGTCTGCGACGTCGATGCGTGACGGAATTTGATTTATGCTCGCGGGAAGGCGAGAGAGAGAGAGAGAGAGAGAGAGAGAGAGAGAGAGAGAGCCGCTCTTTCTCGCACACCGAAGCGCTCTAGTCAAGTGTGCGCCGTTAGACGGATTTAAAAGCCGACGGCCGCGAACAGAACAGACAGACGGATTTAACTTACGGGCATTTAAGCCCGCCGTGACGTCACGGGAGCGAGCGACATCGTCGCGGTGTCGTAGTGATTGTCGCGTGTGAGAGAAACATTATGGAAAGCCGAGAACGCGCGTTAGCCGCGCTCTAGGAGATCTTATGATAAATAACCTCGCGAGTTTCTCTTCAGCAGCTTCGGCTCTTCGAAGTAACTTTAGTTCCGGGAACAGTAACAGGAGTATAATATATGAGCGCTATGCGCTCCCTCCCCTCCCCTCCCGCCGAATGCTTTTCACACCTTTTGCACTCGTCATATGTATACTCGTCATACACACACATATATATATATATACACATATATATGTACACATATATTTTTTTTTCTCGTAAATATCGCCTATTTTTATCGTTTCTACACAAATAGCACCGCGTATAATAATTATTTGCAGAAACACACACACACACACACACACACACACACACACACACACACACACACACAAACACACACACACACACACACGTATAACAATTGCAGAAGAACATATACGCATGTTAGAAAGACAGAGAGAGGAAGCGAGTCGAATATCCGAACACACGCGTGTCTCCGCGCTGCTCAGGGAACGGCGCTTTTCCGAACGCTCCCACGAGCTGCTCTTCACGGACGGTAAACAAGTTTAGTTTGAAAGTCGTGCCGCGGCACCTAACCTTTATCGCAACGTGGTGCGCGGTGTCGGACGTCGGCACGGTGCGAAATGTGAGCGCTCACCTGCATACTGTCGGCGGAGATGATTTCCCCGGAGAAACGGCGCGCCAATTCGATGCCCAGCCGCGATTTTCCAGAACCCGTGGCACCCAGGATCACTAAAACTGGCACACGCGACATACCCACCTCGTCCCGATCGACCATCATAGCCGCGCACTGCGCGCAGGCGCCGCACTGTCGTTTCGAGATCTCGCACGACCGTCGCTCCGCCGGACGGAACGCGGAACACGGAACGCGGGACGCGCGCTGGATTTCAAATCCACTAGCAGTCAGCTATTCCGCAGCGCTTGGAAAACGTTCTTGTCGCATGGCATCTTATCGCGGGCTGTTCGCACACGTCCCGCAGGAATTACGCGTGTGAAATTCTACTCGTCGAACTGTAATCGTGATCACAGACGTCGAGAAGAGGCAATCAATGTTGGATGACTGATAATCGATAATAAGAGCTGTTCCAATGACACTCGTCTAATTAGCCCGCTGATGTGACGATTGGAGGAGGACGCGGAGGTGGAAACGTCGAATTGTTGAAAATCCGGGAATTATCGCCGGCCATTCCATGGGATGTTTGATGAAGAGTTTCGCGGCGAGGAGAAATTTCGCTATTCCTAGACCCGGCCCCGTTCGCAATAAAGCGACGCCTCGCGCTGTTTATCGTTCTATATGCGTACGCGTGATTGCGCTCGGAAGCCGCAAAGCGGAGCGAAGCGGAGAACCGCGCGCGAAATGGCGCAAACAAGCGCGCGGAGTAGAGCACGTGCACGGCGTCGACGGCGCGACGCGCGTCATTCGCGAGTGAGAAACGATTGCACCAGCCGAACTCTATATATCGCCCGAGGAAATTGCGATTGTGCCAATAATGTGTCGGCTCATCGGCCGACGGACGGCAAGTGTGTAACGAGGTCTTCGGTGTTGCGGCAACGCGTAAATAATGTCACTGTGTTATCGCTGCGCGCAACTTTTGCACTTGTTATCGATATCGTCGGCTGCGTGATCGATGACACTGGGTGTTCGGCGTGACGACGATGAAGCCTAACGCTAATGGCCCCGAGTGACTTGTTGAGCGAGCGATTGACAATGCCGCGTGGATGTCGAATTTCCGAGCGACACGCGGAGGCATTATTTTTGTGCACTTTTTCCTTTCGCACACATTTCTGTCGATTTTCCTCTTGTTTCCTGGCAATGCAGGAATGATAAATTTTTTAATAATCTTAGACTTCAGTTCTGGGGACATACAAACAGCGTATTTTTAAAGCGGAAAGAGAGCGGTACGAGAGTAAAAAACTGAGTCAACACGTTCCTCGGAATTTTATACAGCGAGTTTTAATATAAAATTCTCTTCGTCGCTTCGGGAGAAAAGAAACATCGCAATATCTCCTCTTATCTTTTCGCAAGTTTCTCGCTCCTTCTCCCGACACAGTTTTGTTTGTGCATTTTCCTCCGCGGTATTTCTTTTCCTTCGCGAAAAATTATGCATCTCAGACGCATTCAGATAATTATTTTTAGGCGAGAATGCGAGTTGGCGATTGCGCTCGCCTCGTTGCTGCGAGCGTCGCCCGCAGCGATTTCGCCCACGATACGAAGTTCAATACAAAGTTCAATGGATATAATCGGCGCCGCGTCGAGGGGATGGAACGCTCAGACGGCGAATAGTGCGCCCGTATCGTGTGTGACACAGCTGTTCTTAATCCGCCGAACGGCTGGGTTAATTAGGCGCCGGCAAATCATGCGCAAAGTCCGCTGACGGAAGGTGCATGACAGAAGCGATAACATTTCGTCTCTCCCTCTCCCTCGCCCTCGCCCCTCCCCGCCGCTCCCGCGCCGCTTCTTCTCGCCGATTCGTAAGGTACACGCGATCTATTTAAAGAGCGGCGTTATTTGCACGGCAGAATTGGATCTTGACGTAACCGAATTATCTCTCTCTCTCTCTCTCTCTCTCTCTCTCGTTGCATCCGTGCGTTCATTATAAGTCAACTGCCTCCGCCTGCCTCGTGCAAACACGAGCAGCCACTTCTACACGCGCCGTTTACGTTAACGTTTACGTAAATCGCCGAGCCGTCGCGTTCGCGCCCGAATAAAACGACTTCTTTTAATAAGAATAAACGTCAGTTGTTCGCGCGCCGGCATATCATTGCTCTCGCACCGGCGCAATCAATATTCCTTGGCACGAAACCAGGAATCCTACTCTCACACACACACACACACACACGCGCGCGCGAGCGTATAAAAGTCCGAATTTTACGACAGTTTTTTACTCACCTTCGCCGAAGAGCGCTATTCATTGTAATAGCAGCCCGACGCATATTCGAACAAAAAAATATTCATCATCGGCGACGGATAATTAAAAATCGCGAGGCGATGAATCTGTTGTCGCGCGTTGCGCAGTCGCGTTGCCATAACAATGAGTTAAAAAAGCGGACGTCGTTATGCCGCTTGTAGAGAGATTGCGCAACTTTTGCAGGCGCATCGGGCCTTCGGAGACGCCTCGGGCCTTTTATTGGTTTTCACAAACGACTCCGCGCGACGTGTTGCGCCGACGTGTGTAAATTTCTCCCTAAATTTCTCGCGGCGAAATCTCTCTCACCCGGAGCGAAAATACTCGCCACTCGCGGAATCGTGAAGGAGTGAATATTTCACGTAAGCCTCAGTCGGTTTCAGTCGTACGTGTAAATATTTCAGTCGATTACAGCGAGCTCGTTCCCGCGGAATCCACTCTCCAATTTTCAGCGAAAATAGTTACTCGAGATAGTTATTCAAGCAGAAAATCTCGCTCCTCCTTCCCTCTCCCTCTCCCTTTTTGTACAAATGAAAAATCACACGAATTCGAGAAATTCGGCTGTTACCTTGCCTTCGAGCGAAATTTAACGAATACTCGCTGCAAGACTCGATGAAATTTTTGGCCATGCTCCTTTCGTTACGTGGCCGCGAAATAATGCGTGGCGAGGAACCTGATTCCACGTTTCCCGCCAGTTCTCAGACAATCGTCATTTCCCGCGAGCGCGTTGATCATCGACGCGGACTTTAGCGAGCCCGTAATTCGAATACAATCATAACGTAGCCGCAAGTGAGCACAAACAAATTTGACCGAACGTTCCGACGCTCGCAGATACGCGGCGCGCGCGCGAGCGCTGATTAATAGGCCGCACCGTGGCGGCGTTAATTCGCGGGGGAGAGGAAGGGAAATAAGAGAAACTCCCACTCGGCGCGGCGCTAAATCGTCGCGGCGACGTCAACGTAACGGCGAGGATCCGACGTAATGCAACGCGGACGGACGCAGCGCGCGAGACTCTCCTCCGCCTCCTCCTCCTCCTCCTCCTCGCCTCCTCGGCGCGAGGCACAATGCCGACGTAATGCCGACGTAACGCAAAACGTGATGCGAATGCAACGGCGAACGCAAGGGCGGGCGAGGTGAACGTTGGCGTTTGAATTTTTGCGACTTAATGTAATACACGATGCAAGCGCCGTCGCCGTCGCCGTCGCCGTCGCCGACGCCGACGCGCGAATGCAAGCGCGAGCTGACAGTGCGCGACTGCAACGCAAATGCACGCCGCAGCGCGACGCAATATGCTGCAACATGGTGCAACATAGTGGGCGCAGCGCGCAAGTAACGATGTAATAACGCGCAACGCAATGTAACGTAACGTAACGTAACGTAACGCAACGTAACGTAACGAGACGCAATAACGCGCGACTCGCCTCCCCCCCCCCCGCCGCCGCCGCCGCTCTCGCAGTTGCTCCGCCGACGACTTCGGCGAGTGAGATCGATCACGTTTTCCTCTGTTTTCATCATTTTCTTCTCGCGCAAGGATTGCGATCCTCCGATTGCGCGGGATTGTCCGGGGTGAGGATTGGCCTGTTCCGACCAGCTTACTTCATTTCACTTCATTGTTATTGCCTTTCGTCGTCGCGCCTGTGGACTCGTGTGGGAGGGATGTAATGTCGTTTCTCTTTTATTGTTAAACGTATAATTAAATGTGTAATTGATACACGATTGATACATATTATTGATAACGTACAAGATATAAACGTATAATTAGATAAATATAAGTAGCTGTGCAAATAAATAATTTGAATATGTCTGTTCGATAATTTTAAATCAATTAACGGTTAAATAGTTTTACGATGAGTATAAAATAACCGTTTACAATGTTTAAATGAGACGACGAGTTGAACGCGATGGACCATCCATCTCTATCTCTTCAGAATTCCTCCTTCGTCTGTCCGGAATTTTCGGCCGCTCTGACCGCATCCGCTGCGTTAAATAGCTGTGTTGCATTACGTAGCTAAATTAATTAACGATTAAGTGGCTATACAGTGGGTATAAAATAACCGTACAATGTTTAAACGACGAGTTAAACGTACTTCCTAGTCCAGCTCTACTTTAGAATCCTTCGTTCGTCCGCCCGGAATTTTCGGCCGCTCTGACCGCTCATCCGCTGCGTTAAATAGTCGCGTTGCATGTAAGTAACTGTTGGATAATAATCTATATATCTTAAATCAATTAATCTAATAAATCTTAAATTACTTAACGGTTAAACAGTTGTATATAGTGGGTATAAAATAACCGTACAATGCTGAAACGAGACACGACGAGAGTTGAACGTACCTCCTATCCAGCTCTATTTTAGAATCCTTCGTTCGTCCGCCCGGAATTTTCGGCCGCTCTGACCGCATCCGCTGCGTGTAATCCGCGATAATCCGGTTAAAACTCCCCCATCTGCCCCTCCCGTTTACTTCCTGTTTATTTTCTACAGACATGCTCCTAATCTAAAGAGTCCAATGGAGCAACGAGACGAACAGCGACGAGGACAACCGACTTCTAATCTTAACGTCCTTTTTCCAGCCGATACCCGGTGGGACCCATTCATTGTCATTCGTCGCGCGACGACGAAAGACAATGAATATTAGGCGCGATAATACGAGGGTGCGTAACCTCAAACGACAGCTGTTTGAGCGGATAGGGCCGGGGGAACCGAGAGCGAGAGAGAGAGAGAGAGAGAGAGAGAGAGAGATCCTTTGAGACATGCCCGTCTCCCAAGTTACAAATGAGAACGGGACGATTTCTCTCCACAATGGTGTCGTTATCTTAACTCCACTTCCCCTCAAACCGCACGTTACTTCCCCGCTAAGATCCCGTACGACTTCGGATCGATTATCTCGACTCGGCTAGCGATATTCCTTCCTTTCAATCGCTACCTCAAGCCCGATATCAGTCAGAGTCGCGTATGCGCCAGCTAATGCTCGTGCCAGCTCTGAATCAATACATGAAGAGACCGGACGCCGTGTCAGACATTCGATTCATTCGTTAATAAAGTTCCGATATCGGAACGCCCCACATCGCTCGCTTTTTCCGAGCTCTCGAGCTCACAAGCTCGCGAGCTTGCACTCGACAGCGGTGTCTCGCGCGTTTTACGCCCTTTCGCGCTCACGACGTTTCTGCGGGCAAAGCGGCGCCCGGCTTGCGCGCGATGGCGTAAGTTCTCCCTAAGAGCGGAAAACAAAAAACGCGAAAGACGCGGAGCCTCGCCTCGCCTCGCCTCGCCTCGCCTCGCGCGAACTCGACGAGACGCACTTTGGCGGTCGTGCCGCAGCCGCTTGCACAAAGCGAGTCGCGAACGCGAACGTGAAACTTTTTTCACTCTTCGCGTTTCCGCTCGTGCGGAAAAGTTGCAGCGCCGCCTTAGTCACGAGGAGGCCCCTCGTCGCGAAGAACCAGCGGGGCTCGTGTGCCGATCCGGCTCGCCTCGCCCGCGACGAAAAGTGCCGTTGACGCAACCGGCGCCGCGGCTGGGGACTTTCCACAGGAAACGGCAGCGGGCGTTGTATTATCGAGTACGAGAACCGCGTACGGAGAATCCATCAGATCTCGCCTGGTCCGCGGCCTGGCGGGCTTGCGGTGCCCACCTACGACGACGTAGGGGACGAGGGACGTGGTATCGCCGGCTTCCATTAACCTTTTCAGCCGTGCGAACGAGCGCGCGGTGTGCGGCGGGCATACATATTAATATGATATTATGTAATAAGCCTCCTCCAGAGCGCGGCCACTCCGACTGATCCTCGCGGGCGAGTGCGTGTCGAGCTGTCGCGCTCGATGCGGGATCGGTGATCGGCAGGTCGCGCCTCGCGCCTCGCGCCTCTCCCGCTCGTCCCACACCGACGGAAATAAACGGCTGATGCCGGTGAAATGATAGCCGACTTGCCGATCTTCCTGCGGTTCCGACGCGACAGGAAAGTTGCAGCGGCTTTCTACGTGACGAATCGCGAACCTTTGGACCGTTTGATCGATTGCGTCTATAAACGCTCGGCTGACTCTTCCCGACTTGCCGCGCACATTTCCTTCCCTTTTCTTTACGGATTCCTCCTTTCGGTCGCTTTATTTTTGTATCCTTCTCGCGTTATCAGCCTTACTCCTATTTTGCTACTATTTTGTCCTTACTACTATTTTGTCCACTTTTATGCACATGATCGCTTTGCAACGAGTATGTCGTACTAAAGGAGCAACCTTGTTCCAGAAATATCTACAGGGTGTCTTTTGGGAAACGAAAAATTGTGAAGATTAATCAGATCAAAGTGAGAAGAGAAAAGACATGTACCATTTTGCGAAAATCGCAATAGTTATTAAGTTATGATTAAGTTGATGATTGAAAGTGACCACATCTAGAGGCTCTTTTAATCGATAATTTGAAAATTTGCAACACGGTAAAGGACTTTTCTGCTTGGAATGACCTGATCTACAATTATATGACGGCCATTGTGTCTGGCGATTGAACTTTAAACCCTGAATCTTGAACCTCTATTTTGCGAGTAAGCACGCACAAAAGGTTCAAGTTATCAATTAAAAGTACTTCTAGATGTCATGGTCATTTTCGATCATTAAAATAACTCTCGCGACTTGTGCAAAATGATACTTGACTTTTCCTCTCAGTTTCGTCTGATTAATCTTCACAATTTTTCGCCCCCAAAACACATCTCGGTCACTCTGTGTAAATAATAAATATGCTATATAAAAACACGGCGAGCGATTCTACAACTCTTCCACGATTGTGCGATTATTTTGCAATCGAAAGTTACAAATACCAAGCAATCTTTTCTTCTCAGTACGCGAGGAACGAATGTTTCTATTGGATACGATACGGACTCCTTTCTCCAGCATTTCCCAAGTTCTCGCGAAGTTCTCTTTCCTTCTGGGTGATCGACCCCCAGGCGATCGACGAACAAAATGGTAGCCTCGGGTGCTACTGAAGAGACGTTTGTCATCTATCACGAACACGTTGATTGATCGCCCTTCGTTATTACCTTTTCCCCTTTCTCCCGCTCGGAGTTGCGAGCAAAAAGGAGAATGCGACGTCGATACACTCGACGCGAGAGAGTTTAGCGTCTCTCGACGTCTTCGGCGGAGCAGTCCAGCCGAGGTCAATCGTGGCCAGGACGAGGTAAGGAGCGCCCGTGCACGCGCATCACCTGAGGACGACGTCGTTCCAGGCACCGTTGTGGTTGTGGCTTACCTTTTGCAGCTTCGACCGAATTCACCGGCCATTATCTCCATTTTTATGACGTGGAATTAATGCGGCGGTCGGGATGAAGCCTCGTAAAGCTGCGACATGCTTACCGTTAAACCGTCGTCTCTCGACCGTCTCCCGATACGCAATCCTGATATTAAATTCCAAAGCAAAATCCACGATTACGCACGTTAAACGCCCAATCCGGAGAGCGCCGAGGGAGGCAAGGAATTGCGAGTTTTCACGATGAGGAGCGCGAAGAGTCTAATCTGAAGCTGCGAGATCGTGCCGTCGAAGAGATCAAATTTCAGCCGAGAGAAACGAAACGCGTCGCGTGTCCAACTGCCGTAATTTAACGCGAATGCTAGCCGGCGCGACCGTACGCGGTAATTAACATAATAACGGCCGTCCGTTATTTGCTCTTAATTTTTGAAAGTTCACACTTCAACAGACTTCGGTCTGTTGTTGTTCCGCAAAACACGACGCCGCACCTGACGCGCTAACAAAAAAAGACCGTCGATGTCGCAGCGACCTTTTTCGCGGTGCCTCATGCCGATCAATAACACAGGCCGATATTTTTAAAACCCTGAGACAAGACTGTACTTTCCCGAAGGTTTTCGGTCCGCTGAATCCGAATCCGGCAGCGGAATTGCTCCATCACATCAGGTTTTCGAGATATTCTAATCTGAAAGTGCAAAAAACACAGTTTCTCGCTATATTCGGGGTTATATTACAACGTGAATTAATTTTTCTCTACAAAACCCGTTACAGTATCTGAAAGTACTACTCTTCGCCTTCAAAATGCATTTTGAATTTTTCATACATCTTATTTCTTCTCGGAAATATCGTCCGTTGAAATTTTTTTAGTTTGGCGTTTTCGTTACTACCTTACAAAAAAAAAACAGAAGTTAATCCGGCAGGTGAAAGTTGTGTAATTATATGTTTTTTGGGACGCTGAATCCGAATTCGTTGTCGGTTCAACCCCATGACCATCAGGTCATGGTTTGTCCCTAATAATTGATCAAAAAAAGGCGAATTCGAAAATCTTTTTTGAGGTCGGGCATGTCGGAGATTATAATCTCCGGCTGTTTCAGATCATTTTTGCCCGATAAACAGATCCGTCTAACCTTCGGTCTTCCGGAACCATCGAAGTAAAAAACAACACGTGTCGCCCAACGTTTCTCGCAACTGCATAACCGATAAGTTGTTTGGCGAAAAAGTTACGACGCTTCTCGCGTAAGACGGATCCCAAGGCAATTAGAAAGGCCAAAAGTAATAAACATCGTAAAAACACAAATTAACAAAAACTCAACTCGTACCTCTGCTGCTTCGGAACTTGGGCTCTCTGTGTGTACATATTCGCGCATTTAATTTAATTTCGCCTGGGATGAGGTAAAAATATCAGATTACGAGAGACCGATATCGCTGAAATCAATCGAGAGAGAATGGCATCGATTTGCAAAATATCACCGAATCGTCAACAGCTCGCAACTTAAAAATCGTCTTCTTTAAGCGGCAATGTTTGTGTTTACTTCGCTTTGTGTCCCGTGTTCACACATGATATTTCTTTCGCGCACGTCTTGGTCACGTGCTACCTTCAGGCTTATATAAGTAGCCGTGGAGATATCCGAAGATCCTACTGAGCGACTAGAAGTTCGACGCTTTAATCGTTGCTGCGAGAGCAGTCGCTCGTCTACATTTTTAAGTGCCAATATATGTTAGCATCAAAAACCGGGAAAGGATTGCGCCTCGTTGAAGAAAACTTTGCATGTGAGAACACGTTTTATCTTCTGTCGTCTGAACTTTCACATTATCGGGCATCTTCATTTCTTGGCTGGCCGAAATTCAACAGTAGTTTTTTGAGCGATACGTAAAATCGATTGCGCGGCAACAACCGCGGCAAAATTTATATTTCGCTGATATGTCAATTAGGTTCGTTCCGTCGAAGTTCGTTGATCTGAGATTTGACCGTTAATCGCACCGTGGCTATAAAGAAGGAAGGAAGGTCGATGCGGAGGGAAGGAGAAAGAAAGCACATCACCAGGTAAATGATACATTTCTTTATTCATGCAAGGTAATTCGAAATATAAATGTCGAGGAACTGTCGAACCCTTTTCCTGAAGAACAAAACGAAAAAACAAGAGAAAAGAAAAGAAACATTACCGGCGGCTCTCCGGCCTGCTTTTTCACTCTCGCTCTCTCTCTCTCCCTCTCTCTCTCTCTCTCTCTCTCTCTCTCTCTCTCTCTCTCTCTCTCTCTCTCTCTCTCTCTCTCTCTCTCTCTCTCTCTCTCTCTCCTTCTTAACAATGTGCAAAAAATCTATGGCGCAGATGACGCGCGCGTGTCATCAGGTTGCAATGGTCCGGTTTAGTTAACGCTTCGTTTAACGTTTCAATTAAAGATCGTCGCGTAAAATATCAAAATTCTGTCGAGAGAGTCGTCCAAACCCGGTCGGCGATCTCTTTCGTATCGACAATACAAAGGAATTCGTTCGTTCGCACAATCGATTGCTCGCTGCAATTCGCCGGGCAGGACGAGACTCTGTTCTTCGCATAACTGTCTTAACAAGTTAAGTACAACATAAGCTCTCTATCCGTTACCTGAGACGGACAAAGAAAAGAGGAACGGCGCGGAGGGGGAGAATATTTTCGATGTACGAAGCACAAGCACTCGTCGTCGGTCACCCATCGGTCTTAGCTAATGATCGTACAAAAAACGAGGAAGAAAATGGCATGACGGAAGGGAGGGGTGGGGGTGGGGGGAGTGTTGGCTGTTTCATAACATATATACACATGTGTGTATACGTATATACATACACGCGTATACATGTATGTAGGTACATATGTATACCTGTACATGTACCTGTATACATACATATGTAAATATAGTAAATATAGAGGTATAAATATTACTTCTAGATAGTGCTATATTAACTTCTGGTATAAATATTACTTCTTTATTTTATCTGTCGTAATATAATATATACTCTTATCGTTTGTGTATAAATGTGCTTGACTCTCACCGATCCGCTTCGCTTACGGCCGTGTATACGGGGGTGCGTGGCTATGTCTGTACAATATTAAGTATAGTTGTACGAGGGATGAGGAGGATTTCTTTAGGCTATTGCGAGGCGACCCGATGGCGATCCGGTCCGGTTACAAGGATGCGACATCGTAGGAAGACCGAACGGAATCGTCATCGGGAGGCTCTCGCCTCCGTCGTCGGTGAAATCGCAGGCTGTGTTGCTTTTATTAATCGCGTATAACAATCTTCGAGGTATAGGTACACTGAACTCGGGGGGTGTAGCGTTGCTTCGTGTCCATGCACGTGCGTGCGAAATGTTTATCCCACGCGGAATAACGCGTGAAATAATACACGCTTGTAACAATAATTAATAACGAATTAATAACAACAATAATTAGCAAGGTCGACAGGTTTCGAACGAAATATGCAAATAATTCAACTTGCAGTCAGCGATAAATGCACGGAAAACTAAAGGGATTCCTTATCCTCCCGGCGAATTTCCCTTAAGTCCGTCCCTGCCTGCCTGCCTTTTCCGTCTCCTTCGGATAAATTAAATTACAACAATGTTTAAGGCATTAAACTATAAAAATTCTTTTCATCACGAATTTCATAACCTACACAGCCAAATGTTATCGACTTTTGCAAGTATATCGCGAGTTCGAAACAAAACTTGGAACGAAGCAACCACCCATTTTTTTTTTCTTTCTTTAAAGCAGCTAAGTCTCTGTAGTCTGTTCGTTCCCGTTCACGTTCACGACGAAGAAGCACGCGACGCACTTGCGTTGAGATACGAAGTGAGCAACACAAACGATGCGGAACAAACGCGTCCGTCCGACATCGCGTCCTCTTTCGCCGAATGCGTGAACGATCGCGACATTTGTTTTTTTCTTTTCTGAAATTGATTTTCTTGCAAAAATAAGAGATTCTATATCTGTTCTATCTGTATATTATATATATATATATATATATATATATATATATATATACATATATATATATATATATATATATACATACATATGTATATCGCAATTCTCACAAAAAACTTGTCTGTCAGAATTCCTGTATGTATAGATAGCTTTATATAATATATATATATATATATTTATTTATTTATTTGTTTTTTCTATTCGTTAATGGCCGCCTATAATGCTCTTCCTAGCTTTTTTTCTTGCATATAAGCTTCGTTAGGTATTTTAGTAAAAATTTCTATTCGTCTCTGTTTTTATTTATCTTTATTTCACTTTTATTCAACGCTGCTATCGCGCCGAAAGCGTCTTCGTCGGCTCGCGTTACTACGTTTTCCTTCGAACGTTGTTACGAACGTCCGTGTAGTACAGAGCAACAGCTCTTCCGTAGCGACGTCGTATAAAAATAACGGACATAAATAAAAAATATTTTTCTTTTCGCTCTGAGTAAAAAACCTAAATCCCTTAGACTACGTCCGAGCGCTGCTAATTCGCGCTCTACTCCCGTCAGAATTTCTCTTCTTCTATACGCATATAAAATTGTCCTGTAAAAACGTTCGTCAGATGCTATTTCATACGCTCATCGTATTCGCTGTCACGAAATCTCAATCGCTTTTTGATCGCTTGTCGGATTTGCGTCCTCGAGGCTCTCTCTCTCTCTCTCTCTCTCTCTCTCGCACGTGCGCGCGCGCGCGCGCGCTACATTTCGTTAACATCGATGACCAAAGGCAAAACAAAAACGCAAGACGCAAACCGCTTACGATAAAAGATAGGCCGCGAAGATAGAGAAAAGAAATAATATACGTGTATACACAGAGCGTTCTATCCCGAAGTTCGTATATTCTTATACATTCTCAGCCGTTAAAAAGACGGAGCAAGATTTCCCGGGAGCAGTAACGCAAAATGTCAGTCTCAAAAAGAAAAGAGGAAAAATATATATATATAAATATTTCTCTCACGTATTGATTTGTCTGTTTTTCTTTTTCTTTCTTCTAGTAATATACGTGGAACTGTTGGAAAGAAATTGGAACGAAACGTGAAACGCTCTGCGTATACGTACACGGATAACGCGAGAGGAGAGCGAGACTCTCCAGCTGCGGCGCGAGACGAGACGAGAAGGAAAAGCAAAGAGAAATTCCGCGATGAGGAACGCGTTCTGTCGTGATAAGAAAAAGGAAAAGTGTAGCGAGACGCGGTGATATCGGGATTTCGCTCAGCGCGTCGAGCGCGGCCGCGAAAGGAGCGAGACTCGCGTGTCGTGCCTGTCGTCGTGTCGTTTCGGTACGTGTTGCATATAACAACATGTGCAAACAATTGGCGCGACCTTGCTCAAGCGAAAAAGTAGGTCGTTACGCTATAAATCGTTACGAACGCTAATCTTTCCTTATTATGCGCCATCTCTCTCTTTCACTCACTCTCTCTCTCTCTCTCTCTCTCTCTCTCTCTCTCTCTCTCTCTCTCTCTCTCTCGCTCTCGCTCTCTCGCTCTCTCGCTCTCTCGCTCTTTCTTCTGTAACACGATATACGATTATAATAATTAGTTTTAATATTTATTTAGCTAACAGGTACATTTGCACTCTTCGTGACGGACGCGGGGTGTTCCTCTCGAGTAATTCGATCAACAGTAACTCGCGCAAGTGTAGCATTAATTAGCGCCTGTGGTGTGGAAACGATGCTGTTTCTCGCTAGTTCCGTTTCGAGCTCTACACTGAGAGGAAAGAAATATCTCGGGAATAAGCGATACACGGCGGATACCAATATAACATATTTACTTATATTAATACATATTTTTTTAGGTCTTTCAGAAGAAAGACTCCCTTCAGATGAGGAAGCATCCCCGTGTGCCTTCTCAAAGTCGTAGCTTTTCACGGAAGCACATTTGTTTCTTTTAGTCGCATACAAGAATGTACATCGAAGCAAATACGCTATGCTACATTCCGGTATCCGCCGAGTGAACATTTCCTTACTTTTTGAAGAAAAATCTTTTCTCTCAATGTACTATACGCTTGTTTCCCCCCCCCTTTTTCTCTTTTTATATATCGTCAATATTATAACAACAAACTTAACATGGATTTTAACAACCCGAACACGGCGATATAAGTCTGAGACTTTATAATAAAATAAGACTGGAAGAGGAAGTTTGTACTGTAAGTGCCTGTCTTCTCTTCGCGAAAGTATCCTCCTGCCATACACTTTGTCCCTGTCGCGGGGGTCCTGCGCGACCGACGAAAGATCGTCGGCGATTTCTGCGACGTGTCAACGGTTTATATTTCCTGAGACATCATCTGCTGCGCCCAGCAAGAAGTGCAATTCGCTCGAAACTTTTCGCACGAGCATCGTTCCCGTGTCTTCGTGGAAAGGAAACAAATCCGGCGTTCGAGACGACAATAATCGAGACCACGCACGCTCGACTTGCAATTTAATTCGAGCTAATTCGAGACTATTCCTTCGACGTTTCATCCTCCATACTCTAACGCGATCGTGCGTAGCTGGGGAAACCAACACGCCAGCGTACTGGTACCTAGCTTATAATTTCTGGGCTGTCGTCTCGAACACGGTGGCAGCGTGAAAGATAGTGCGAGGAAATATTCTCAGGAGATGCGACAACTTTTTCTCTCTCTCTCTCTCTCTCTCTCTCTCTCTCTCTCTTTCTAGAAAGAAAAGAGGTTACAAAGGGAACACCAGAGGAAGAGCGGTAACGAAACACCCTCACGATCCGCCATATTTTGTTATATTACTCTCTGAACGATTCTCGATGAGAACGATTCTTAACCGAGAGAAGACCCAGCAGAGGTCTAGTCAATAGGAAAAAAAAAAAAGAAAAAAAGAAAAGAAAGAAACAGAAGAGAAAGAAAATGAACTTAAGTCAAATAAAAAAAGAAAAGGAAATGCAATCCTATAATCTAATCTAGCGATATATGTACATATACATGTATACATATATATATATATATATATGTATATGTATATATATCTTACCTATAAATATAGAAAAACGCCCGACATGCCGGTACGTTTATTTTTATATAAATATAACTACGATCGACCAAGGGCCAGCCGATCTCAGTCAATTGTTAATCATTCTCTTTCTATATATATTTTTCCATACCTCCTAAAAATTTATTCTCCCCTAATTCCCTCTTCGACTTGGCACAATATAAAGAACTCACAGGTTGGAGACACGAGCAAGCGAAAAATGCGGCGAAGCGAGGATTTTTCACGCGAGAGAAGGCTTCCGTTCCCGGTAACGGGAGGAGATTTGTGTTGCGAGGTATACATCGTCGAGTTTCCTTTCGTCAATCCTACAACCTACTGTCGAGGAGCCCCTCTCCTCGTCCGAATTCGAAAAGTCGATCCGGAAAAAATACTCGCGTCTGTCAGTAGTCATTGATTAAAATAAAACAAGAGAATACACACACACGTGTGAAAGAATCCCGTGAGCTCCACTCATTCAATCCATTTCGGAAGAGTAATTTACATTGTACAATATGCGATATTTGCACAACTTTTAAGAGGAATTGCGTGTTGTAACATATCGCGTCTTTACGCGTATATTGCATCCTCCAGGACGAAATCGGAGTATTTTTGCCGATCGATAAGCTTTTCGCTCCATCCTATGTACACGCCACAGAAGCGCGGCAGAATGTATACATGTGTGTTACCGTTTATAAATTATATTAAAGCGCTGGTTACCATTTAAATTAATGAACATATTCATCTTCCTATTTTCCTTTCCGGATTATACAGGGTGTCGTAACGGTATCCACGACTTTCCCATCCAGTTGCGACGGTCGGACAGAAAAAGAGTTCGAGATGAGATTAATTTGCAGTTTGCAAACGGCGATGAGAGATGGAACATTAACAATTTCGGAAATGCTTTTCTTTTTTAGCGAAAAGATCAAAATCAATTTAACCCTCCAATAGGACCATACCTTTCTTCACCCGTAATGTCGTAAAACAGAAATGAAATCAATGTACAATAACTTATTGATTAAATTTATATTATTTTTATCGGTATCTAACTAATGTGGAGAAAAGCTGACAATACTTATAGTTTCAACGATGATGGTCTGAACAGATGGGAGATGTGATAATCTTTGGGATACACGAATGATGTCAAGCGCCCAAAACATTACTCATTGCTCACCGTCACTACGACCACCCTGTATATAATGCCGTGTGTTTTCATTCCGGCGACATGCCTAACAATTAATTATGCGGCTCGCTGTGAAGCTCGCTCGTGAAGCTGTATCGGAATCTCTATGGAATATGAGACACGAAAAATCTTTGAATAAATGTTGAGTAGGCCTGCGCAAGCGCGGCACACATTGCGAGGATATATTTTAATCCTATATTTATAAGTCTATATATATATATATATATATAAACATACATGTTCATATACGTGCACACACACATTATATACATATAATATATGTATATAATATATATATATATATATGTGTGTGTGTGTACATACGTATGTATATATGTACATATATGTCTTCGAAATTAGCTAGAAGTAATCGAGAAATTGACTAATCGATATATACATACGTATCATTATGTATACCATATATATATATATCCCCATATATATATGAATTTTTGCCAACGTTAACCCGAGGTACAAAATACTCTATAAAAAGTACAAAAGAGAGTGCCTGCTAATTATCCGTGGGAGAGTCTCTCGCGTGTATTATGTAATTAAAATAGTTTTGTCAACAGACCCTTTGCCTTTTCATCCCTCTCGTTCCCGCCGACGCGACTATTTCAATTTCGACGTACGCTCTAGGCCGACTCTCCGCTCCTTGTTCACATCTCTCGACATTGTCTACTATTTATAACTTAAATTTGGACTACGTGCGCGCGCTCTCAGGTTCTCTGTGTGTGTATGTGTGTGTACGTGTGTGTGTGTGTGTCAAGTATGAAGAGTGTGTGCATACGAAGGGTTTCTCTCACTTTCGCGTTCGTCCGTAATATCTCGATTATAAAAAATATGTACAACGTATAAACAAATACTGTTACCTATAAATGTAATGAACACATTATTTTGCTATCCTCTCCTTTCCCCTCTGCCCTTATATAACTCTTTTACAGTAATGTTTATATAAAATTTTTACCCCGAGACACACACATTCGTTCGTGTCGATTATGTCCCTGTCGTATATATGCAATTATTTGTATTATTCATAGACCTATGTACAGTGACTGTGTCTTCTTGTGAGAGGTTTAAGGACAAGAATCAAGGATAGCTATATTACCTTCCTATTACCCACAGACACTCGACCTTTGTCCAACTTGACTCCACTGGAGAAACTTGGACAAAGTAAAAATCCAATCTAGACAAAGATGTAAAATATATCCTAATAATAAACTAAAATTGATAACAACGATATTACCGCGAAATATCTCTAATATGATAATCATGAGAACATAATAATGTTGACAGTAATAATAATAATAATAATAATAATAATAATAATAATAATAATAGTAGTAGTCAATTTGTTATTATCAATATTGCTAGTATTTATATTATCGTATCAAACGTAATAATATATGTATATACATCTTTGTACACGTCTTTATGTCATTGTTTGTATGCATATGTACATATATTCATACATGTATGAATATAAATCCTGATACGTGTCTGTGTATGCTCGTGTGCCTGCGTGTGTATGTATGTGTGTGTGTGTGTGTGTGTGTGTGTGTGTGTGTGTGTGTGTGTGTGTGTGTGTGTGTCACACACATATATATATATATATATATATATATTTAAAATATATCTCAACTCCCGCGATATACGCGTAAGATTGAGATTTCGCGTTATCCTCCGGATTCGTTCGCGGGATAGAAAGAATTGATTAAAAAGTGCGGAAGACACGTCTCAACGATATTAAAGCAAACTAATCGCGCGGGAGATCGACTTGTTCGTTGCAATTAAAAACGAAAAAAAAGGGGAAAAAAAAAACAACGACCGACTCCCAACGTTAAACCTACTTCTCATCTCACCGATCGAAAATTAGAGAACAAAGTCCCCGAAGAATCAGCGAGCGGTCCGCTGTAAAAGATCTTGCCCATTTTATTAATTGAATAAGTGAATAAGAATATTATTGAGTAAGAAGAAATAAGAATATTATTGAATACAAGTATTGAATAAGCATATACGCATGACAATGATATCCTTTCTTGAAAGAATAAAGTTTTAAGGTTCAAAATTTTCAAGTCCCAAGTTCAAAATTCTAAATCCTAAAGTTCCAAGTTCTAAAGTCCCAAATTCTAAAGTTCCAAGTTCTAAGGTTCCAAGTTTTAAAAGTTCCAAGGAAATGAGGGACACTGAAGGCGGACTGAAAATCAGATGAAGCGTGCGGCCCGATTTTCCAGTGGGACGGGGAAGAGGGAGGGATGTAAGAATAGCAGTAGAAGTGTCAGGAGAATTAAAGCGACGCAACCAAAAGAAACAGAAGAGCAACCGAGAAATACGTCGCCCCACAATGCGCCGAATTCACGAGGAGCCGGCCTCCTTCGTGGTTACCCGTACACTTGGATCACGGATAAGCTGTCGGCATGAACACGCCGCACGCGCACACACGCCCGGGCTACCCGTATAATATCCAACGTACCGTCGCGAAAGCTATTTCTATCCACCGGCGACACTGACTCATCATCAGCACTCCCGCCCCGTGGCTTTTCCACCTATTCCACAACGTGCATGCGAGAACGACCGCGCAACCTTACGCGTCTGAACTCGGCCGAGAGCGCTTCCGTTTCTAATTCCAAAGACGCGAAGTCCGCGCGAGTCTCGCGAGTCTGTCGATCTGTCGCACCCAACCTGTCGTTTCGGACGCCCCACCTTGGCGAGGTTCGGCGCAATTTGAAAATTGTGTCAGCAATGGGGGGGGGGGAGGAGGCGGTTTCCATTCACGCGACTCATTGATATACCTCAATCGTGCCTGCGAGCGAGTATTTCTATGTGTTTCTGTGATCAAAGCGAAACGGAGGCCCGAGACGTTCGAATAAGCATGAGACGTTGAGTAACTCTACTTGCTACTTGTCCTCCCAATTTTCTGCAGAAAGATTCCGCCTTCGCGCGGCCGTAGGAATGCCACTATTGAGACTGCCAACTGCCTCTCTATCGCTGAGGACCGAGATGTGTCTCGTGTCTCTTTTCATTTTTACATCATTTTACCTCGCACCGAGTAGCGCGTGCGTATGCGCGAGGCGAATATAACTAGAAAACCGGTCCGGGAGTCGGGAAACCGGTAGTCGGATTGTTGGGCAATATCGTGATAAGACCTCCCCTCCAATGACTTGAACGAGTCGCCTTATCTGCCCGATAGTAATCAAAATGCGTCCGGCAATAATAGGGCGCGTGCGTGTATATCGGTTTAGGTTTGAAAAACGAAAAAAAAACATAAAAGAACGCGTTCTTTGCACTTGAGTGCTGTGTCACGTCGGTGATCGAGCGGCGAAAAATCGCCCAGTGAACTTCATTCTTGTCTGTAAACGTCGAGTCGCGTATGCTCGGCCTTCTCTTTCTCGGAATTAAAACGAGGAACGCCGTGCTTTGTTAAACCCTAATTAAACCTACCAAATAAGGATCAAACTCGATCTTTGTTTAGCTTTAATTCTAATTTAAATTTTGTAACCCATTTACAGCTTCAGTTTAAGTTGCATTCATCCCTTCCTAATTTGTTCCGTCCTCATTGTGCCTCGTCTTAATTCCTAATCCTAATTTCTTTGTGCCAATTTTTTCTTTTTTTTTTACCTTTTTTTTTTTTTTGATTAATTAATACCTAACGTTACATTAATATCGAATCATCGTCGTCGAGGAAGTTAGCACAGCACGCTGAGCGTTTTAATTCTTCGAAAGAGAGAAACTCGAGACATACTGCGAGCTGAACTGAAGGATGATGCAGTGGCAGAGGTAAAAGCGAAGCCCAATGGCGTGACTTCTCGTTGTTTTCGGAACGATACCTGAGGAAGTCAAACCGAACGTGAACCCTCATGCGCGAGGAACGCGTCTTCCACTTCGCAAGTGGACACGTTCACTTGCTGACACACTTGCTGCAGTGCATGTTGATCCTCGCCGCGTACGTAAAGCCGGCCCCTCATTGCGACAATTGACGGCCCGAGTCTAGGTAGATGGATCGGCCAATAATTCTCTACTCAGTTTGGAGCCGCAAATTCAACAAACTAAACTCATAATCGAGGAAACCTGCGACAGGCGTCTCCCCGGCGATGAATGAGCAAACAACAAGATTCCAATGTGTACATTCAGATCAAGCATCAATCATGTATGCTCCTGTCATCATTATGCACACACATGGCGGCGTCTGTTGATTCGCTCTCATCGGATCCTCGTCAAAATGCAGAATTTCAGATCTTCCTTCTGCTTATCCGCGATGTACGTCGCGAGTTCCTCTTCATGTGAGCAGCCACCAGGGGGCCACCGGCGAGCAAGGAGTGGAGTGAGTAAGTTTTCCTTTTTCCAAGGATGCTCGCGTAATTTCCCGATTGTTTCTGCACGCATATGGCCTATGCGGATGGTTAGTCTATTTTTCTTCTTCCTTTTTCTCGCCTTCTTACTGGCCCGCGTGTATTGGTATGTTTGCGCTGTTGTCCCCGCAAACATTCGCCTCCGTCTCGGAGTCCGACGACCCGCTCATGTCTTCTATGTCTTCTATGTCATCGATAAATTGGTACTCATCGTCAGACTGCTCCGAGGAGGTCGACTCCTCGTCGTTGCCACTCTCGCGCCGCTGAAGCTTACATTCCAGCTGCTTCACTATCGCAGTCTTCTTCGTGACGTCTTCCCTCAATTTGGAGAGTGTCTTCGCACCTTCGTGGAGGTTCTTGCAATAATTCGCGGCCTCCATCAGTATCCTTACCTTCGGCATCTTGAAATTCGGATTAGGATGCGGAATCAGACTTCTAAGCTGTTGGAATAGTGACGCCATGTATACTCGTCGCCTCTTTTCCATGGTGTTGTGCTGGATCCTCCTGTCCGGGTTCTTCTCCTTGTTCTTCTGCTTGCCCTTCTTCCTGCCCTTGTTCTTGACCTGCTCATCTTGCTGGGCCTCTTCGTCGGTGGAGCTTGACGTTCCTGGCGCATCCAGCTTGCGCGTTTGACGCCGCTTAGGAGCAGGTTGATGGTCTTCAGGCTCCTGCGGCAGGGCCCGCTTCCGATTCAACGGTGGCCTGCCGCGCGGCCGACGGAAAGGCGTCGCCTTGTTTTGCGCCGCCAGCTTTGCTCGTTGACTGGCGAGAGACACTACGTCGATCTCTTCGTCCTCTGTGAAAACAAATCGGTATGCAAGGCGTTAAGAAGTGCTGTACCTGAGAGATAAAGCAAGAAGCGCCATAGGTAAGCGAGTAGGCAACAAGCGAATCAGCGCAGTCGAAAGCATAGCCCATTTAAGTGTCATGCAAGCATAGATACATGCAGGTAAATTGATATTGGCTAAGAAAGGGAAGGAGGCAGAAGAGAGAGAGAGAGAGAGAGAAACAATCGCCTGCGTACCAAGGACACAGGCAACTGTCGTCACTTTCAACGAAGCCTCGCGCGCGCATCGAGAAATACTCGGGGCGCTATGACGCCGTCAATAATGCAATTCATCGACCGAGCGATTCTCTTCCGTCGTAGACTCTGCAACGTTTCTCTCTCCGTCTCTCTCCTTCGCATACGTTACCCGAGTCATCGTATCTCGCGACCAGCGCGAGTATACGAGCAAGAGCTCTCTCTCGACGTCCGAAACTCCAGCGCAAAAAGAGAATCGGGCCGAGATCGAGCCGACGCCAACACGCCCACGAATGGCATCTCAGCAGGCCATGAGAGCCAGAGATACCTCCCTCGGCTTCTCCCGCGGCCGTGGCCGTCCGGAGGAGAAGTGAGAGGAACAAGTAGCGACGCGATACGGAGCTCCGACGACCGATAATCCCGCGTCGTTCGTATCCCGCGAAAGCTCGTTAGTGTCGACGCCGGAATGTTGCTAATTGGCCGCGACGAGACAATCGCTCCTCTGTCTCGGCGGAGTGCATCCACGTCAGAAAGAGAGAGAGAGAGAGAGAGAGAGAGAGAGAGAGAGAGCGGTCAGGGTGAAGGACGGGGACCGGAGAACCGTTTCGGAAATGTGAATGGAAGGAAGCGCCGTCGACGACTCACGTGACTCGGCGGTTCCTTTCACGGGGCTTGCGCGCGCGCGCCAAATCCTCGGCGATCGCGCGGACGCGCGCGATCATATTTATCTCGAAAATCCCTCGCGGCCTCCCCCTCCTTCGCGCCGCGTCCCTCTGTCTCTCCCGTTCCCTGGTACCGCCGCGGACGCCGCGGCGAATTGTTTTCACCTTTTCATCCCGACGATCGCGATTACGCGGGAAATTGCCGCGAGATAACGATCTGGCGGCAGTCGTTAGTTGCACGTGAGGGGAACTCGCGATCATGAACGAACGAACGATCGGCGAAAAATCTCGGCAAAGTCTCGGAAAGATCAGTCGAACTTACACAACGTTGAGGGGAGGAGGGGGAGGGAGGGAGCTGAGGAAAGAGAAGCGACCGCGAGTCCATGAAGCTGACGGAGCTGCTGAGACGCGCGAGATCCGCCAAGCACGATTTTGAATTGAAACATCGCGACGCGTCAGCGCGCGCGTAAATCACGTAAAACACCGTAAATCACGATTATCCCCCTCCCCTTCTTTTCTCTTTCTTAACGACCCCCACCCGAGGGGGGGAGGGGGGACGGATCGCGCGGGTGTGACCTTGACGCGAGGCAATCACGACCGGGCGGAAATATCGAGGCATACAATAAGTTCCCAACCGCGCCTATTGCGCTTTATTATTTACGCGCGAATCGGCCGGAAAGCCGCGAGCGAATTGACTCAATAAAGATAAGATAAATCCGTCCGGCGCAGCGGACGGCGGCGACGATACGCGGGTGTTAGTCGTCGAGCGGCTGAGCGTTGCGCGGAGTGGCGCGTCGCAACAATCGAGGAACGCGCGCGAGCCGCCGACAAAAGCGACGCGCGGCGAGTCGTATTACGGAAGCGGCCTTGTCGCCGTCGTCGTCGAATTGGCGGCCGCATCCGTACGGCCGAGGAATCCGGACCGACCGGATTTCCACCGATTGTGCCAGCCACCGCGGATGACATAGTTTGCAGAAACGCCCACGGTCTCGTATGTCACCTAGAACGCCTCTCCGCGACCACGTGTGGGGTGCCTCCTCGAGGGACACGAGTTCGGTCTAGCTGGCCGCCGGGGCTTTCTCTAGCAGCTGCCGATCTCCGCCGATGATCGCGAACCCTTGCTCCCTCCTCCTTTCCTGCGCGTTTGCCAACCGCGACCTCTCGCGCGCTCTTCTTCGGCAAAGTTACACAAACACTCTCATCAAACACGCGGTTATCGCAATCGGCTGCGACAGACCGATTTTCCCATCGCTGAATTAGCACCGAGGGGGTGGGAGGGGAGCAGAGAGGGGAAGAAGCAGGGCAAGGTGGCGCAGGTAGTGGAAGACAAGTTTCGTACACTCTCGACGTCTCACGATCGCCACGGAAAAATGCGAGTATCTTAATGATACCCTCGTCTATCAGATAAGACTATGATAGGAGACCAATATTTGCGCTCCGTACAGTCCGCGCCCGGCGCAATCGATTATCGCGCAAGCCCTTGACGAACAAAAGTAAGCCGAAGATGCCGGCCTTACGCGAGCGTATCCATTCCGCCGCTCCGGAGGAGCCGCGCAGCGGTTCGGCGAGGTTCGACGGGGAACTCTCAATTAGCGTCCGCCGCTTATTAACGCTCATCCCCACAGCGGCCCAGCCGGCCGGCCGGCCGGCGCGTGGCCTTTCTGGCAGCGCTCCACCTATGCCGTAACATTTCACCCCGAACTCGCAAACGGGGACAAGCGGAAGGAGACAGCCGAGGAACGAGGAAGAAAACGACTCGCTCGCCGGGCACCTATGCACGTGCGCACGAAAGCGGCCTCGCGCCACTTCCACGTGCATGCCTGCCTGCCTGCCTGCCTGCCTGCCTGCCTGCCTGCCTGGCCGACCTGCACGCATGCATACGGACATATGAATCCGGCGGGCGGCGAGAGCCTGGCGCGCCGCCAGGACGGCCGCTGTAGAAAGGCGCGACACACCTCCGCTAAAAATAACGAGACACCGGACGAGATTAGCAGCGGCGAGAGGCTTTGATTCGCGACGCGCGCCGCGCCGCGCCGCGCCGCGCGGCGCCGGCATGACGCGCGTATTCGCGCGAGCCAACCTTCGCGACGCGCGCGCCTACGGACGCGCGAGAGACACGTGCAAGCGCGCCGGTAATCACTGGCGCCGTTAATTGCAACACGCGCGAGCGCATCGCCGTTCGGCGACGGATACAACTGGCTGTCGAGCGCATCGGGTGAGAGCGAAAATGTCGACGGCTTCCTCGGAGATGCCGCGCGGCCGAGCCGGTTTTGCGGCGAAATACATGGCTGGGTGAAATATCGATGGTGGTTCAATGAAGCAATTTTTCTGAATCCAAATACTCAGTGAAGACATTTTCTTCAGAGTACTCGAAGTACTGAATGAACAAATTCTTTTAAATCCACATTTACTCGCCGAGCAAATTTTTATCGGCGAAAGCCGTCGGAGCGCATTCGCTCTCGCCCGAAACACACACACACACACACACACACACACACACACACACAGGATCCTCAGGACGCGTGCGTGAGGAAAGCTGTGTGGAATTCACCGCGGATGACTTTCAGAACGCGTCCGTTTCGCCCAGCAGAGCGGATTCTTCCGTCAAAAAACAGGATCTCCCGTTCGACGGTCTCGAGGCTCATAGAAGAGTCCGCGGACGACCTTCCCGTTCACGACCACACGCAGCTCTCTCAGCCGACGGAGAGTCCAAGTTCCGCGCGCGCGTCTTTCCAGCAACACGTTTAATTAGCCACGGCTCAGCGGCGCGTACGCGAGCAGCGCGAGAGGCCAAGGCAGCGGCGAGCAGCGAGCGAGGCGAGAACGCGGAAGCGGCCTCGCGACGTCGCGCAATTCAGCGTTGGAACATATGCTAATAATCACGGCACCTCGACAAGCGCTCGTCTCTCTGTCTCTCTCTCTCTCTCTCTCTCTCCCCCTCTCGCTCCCTCTCTCTCCCTCTCTCTGCCGCCCCTCGACGGCCCCAACGTCACACCCGTTGTGCACGTCTCGCTCATTAACCGATAATCGCGCGGTCTCATCCCGCTCGCGCCAGTTTCTGCCAACGTCGAATCTATTCGAGCGAAGCCTACAAAAATCGGACTCGGGTCATCACCCGACGCTCGCCCTTGGCGACCTAACCCTTGGCGAGTGGTGAGCGATGTCGCTCGACTCTCCGCGTGACGTGTGACCCAAAGTTCCCCCAATCTCTGCATCTCCCTGTCGAACCGTTCACCGTGTCCGTACCTCTCTCTTTCCCACCTTCGAGTGCCCGTCGTACATTCCGCGTATATCAGTATCGGTAATATCGTGAGTGTCACACGTGCCGCCGGCGAGCGTGAGGCCGCAAAAGGGGTCGGCGGCCCGCACGCACCGCCGTCGCCGTCGCCGTCGCCGCCGCCGCCGCCGTCGCCGTCGTCATCGTCGTCGTCGTCGCTGCAAGGCGAGCGCGTCGATGCAGCTCGACTTGGCGCGAGGAAAAGCGGGGGCGACGTCGGGAAGGAGAGACTGCGAGAGCGACGGAGACAGAGAGATAGAGGGAGCAGGAGGAGAATACCCGCGAGGCCGAGAACGTAACGGACAGAGAGAGAGAGAGAGAGAAAGAGAGAGAAAGAGAGAGAGAGAGAGAGAGAGAGAGAGAGAGAGAAAGAAAAAAGAGAGAGAGAGAGAGAGAGAGAGGAGGCGGGAGGAGCGGTGGGGAGGGACAGCGTCAATTCGCGCAGCACGTGCAGCCGCGGAAGAACGACCTTGGGGGTCAGTGCTCTCCGCGTAAGCAGGCCATAGTAGTACGTCGACGCGAATCGATCGCCTCTCCTCTCCCTGCCATTGAGATAGCCGACGCGACGTCGATAGCGGCGCGACGGCGGGCGGGGGAGGCCCGACAGCGGCGCGACGAGGGAGAGTGAGAGGGTGGCTGCTCTTCTCGGCGAGTATCGAACGCGCCCGGCGTCGTCGCCGCCGCCGCCGCCGCCAGAGCGTTAGGGGACGTTTGGGCGTGGATTCAGGGTGAAAGTACTCTCCCGCGCTTTCCAACCGCGGCCCCTCGCGCCCTCCCTAGCCGCTCTACCCCCCCGGACCGTCCTCCCTCGCCTTGCCGGATGCTGCGACCCTCCC